TGTGGGGGTTTTGGGGAGCTTCTGTGGGATATTGAAGGGTCCTTTGTGGGGTTTGGGGATTAGAAGAGTCTAATGGGGGACTGGAGGGGTGGGGGGTAAAGAGGGGTTGGGTCAAGGGTTGGGATGGGGTGGGGGTGAAGGGTTGAGGTGGAGTCACGGGTAGGATGGGGTCTAAGGGTGGAGGGATCTGTGGGGAAGGGGGGGGGAGGGAATTGTGCAGCGTGGAATTAATGGGGAGGGGTCTTGGAGTGAGGGAAATCGATGTGGGAGAGTCAAGGGGAAAAAATGGGATTTGTGTAGGGTGGAACCGACGGGGAACAGTGCTATGGGGGGGGGGGGGGGGGGGGGGGGGGGGGGGGGGGGCCAGAGCTTCATCCCGTGTGTCCTCCCCCCCCCCCACTTCCCCCCCCCCCCCCAGGCTGACGTTCTTCATCTGCTCGGTGGGCTTCACGTCCCCGATGCTCTTCGACGAGCGCAAGTTCCCCTACCACCTCATGCTGCAGAAGTTCCTCTGCTCCGGCGGCCACAACGCTCTCTTCGAGTGAGCCCCCCCCCCCCCCCCCCCCCACCTCCCACCCCTCCCCCGATATCTGTCATTCCCCAGGACGTTCAACTGGGCGCTCTCCATGGGGGGCAAGGTGCCGGTGGCGGAAGGTTTGGAGCATCCCGAGCTCCCCGACGGCACCGGGGAGTTCCTGGACGCCTGGCTGATGCTGGTGGAGAAGATGGTGAACCCCAGCACTGTGCTCGAATCCCCCCACGCCCTCCCTGCCAAAGCCCCCGGCCACGGGCAGCCCCACTTCAGCGCCCTCCGCTTCCTCGTCGTCACCCAGAAGGTCTGGGGGGTTGGGGGGGGAGTTGAAGGGGTCCTGTGAGGGTTTGGAGGGGTCTAAGGGGGTTTGGGAAGGTCTTATAGGGTATTGGAGGGGTCCTATGGGGATGTGGGGGTCCTGTGGGAGTTTGGGGGCTACTGGGGGAATTGGGGGAGTCCAAGGGGGTCAGGGGAGCTTTGGGGGGCTGCTGTGGGATATTAGAGGGGTCCTGTAGGAACGTGGGGGGTCCTGTGGGATATTGGAGGGGTCCTTTGGGGGGCTTGGGGGGCTTCTGTGGGACATTGGAGTGTGGTCCAAAGGGTTTTGTGGGATCCTGTGGGGGGCTTGAGGGCTCCTGGAAGGGATATTAAGAACCACAAGGACCTGGGGACACGTGGAGGGGACACTGGGGACCATGAGGACTTGGGGACATGTGGAGGGGACATTGGGGACTACAAGGATTTGGGGACACATGGAGGGGACACTGGGGACCACAAGGACTTGGGGGCACGTGGAGGGGACATTGGGGACCATGAAGACTTGCGGAGGGGACATTTGGGCCCATGAGGACTTGGGGACATGTGGAGGGGACATTGGGGACCACGAGGACTTGGGGATGC